GTCCTAACAATACCATCATACATCTTAATTCTGACTTCACCAATACCAACAATTTGCAACATCTGTCATCACCTAAATAGACATAACCAAAATTAACTGACTTGTATGTTGAAAACCACTCTCTGTTAGGTGTTATATGATAAGAGCATCCTGAATCAAGAACCCATGATCTATCAACTGAGTTGTTGAAATAGAAAGCATATCACCATCACTTTAGTTTGTATTGTCACTGTGCACCACGTTCACAGAATTGAATGATTCATCACGTTTCTCATCAGTCTGCTTTTTCCATTTTGGACAGTCTCTCTTCATATGTCCCGGCTCCTTGTACTTGTAGCAATGAATTGTATTTTTGCCCCTAGACTTTGAAATGGAATTTTATTTTCCAGGCCCCTCATTCTCTGACTTTTTTCCACTGTCTTGATTACCCTTAATAAATAAACTATAAACATATGAGATTTCCCTTGCATTCTGCTTTCACTGGTTGTGAGCCAACAAGGTTGCAGTAATCTCTTCAACTTTGATCGTTTCTTTCCCATATATAAGAGTAGTCACCATGTGTTCGTATGAGGAAGACAATGAACACAACAAAATCACTTCTCTCTTTTCATCCTCAATCTTCACATCAAGTTAAGCCAAATCTGTAATTATTTGATTGAAGACATTCATGTGCTGCGCCAAATCATGACCTTCATGCATCTTCAACCCATGCAACCTTTGCTTTAGATACAATTTATTCGTTAGGGATTTGGATATAAATTGATTTTCCAATTTCTTCCATATTTCTCCTGGAGACGACAGACTCATTACATGATACATAACCTCGTATGCCAAACATAATTGTATGGTTCCTGCCACTCGCTACTGCAATTCTTCCTAATCTTTTTCCTTTATCGATTCCGGCTTTTGAGATCGTAGAGCTTTCAAAATCCCTTGCTACGCCAACAAATCCTTTACCCTCGTTTGTCATAATCCAAAGTTTCCATGATAATTAAATTTCACCACTTCGAATTTCGCATCAGACATAGCCATCTCAACATGCTCTGATACTAATTGTTGGAAAATTAAACTAAATAACACAGGAAATAAACGATCAATAAAGAAAATAAAGAACAACATATTTAATGAGGTTCGACAAGGTGCCTACGTCCTCGGGAGCAACGAGCGGTTGTTTTCTTATTATTAGCAAAAATGAATTAACAATTAGGTTATAATTACATAATATAAAAGCAACCTCGTACAATTACCAAAATAACCCCGTGTTGTACCGTGGGGGCTTCACATACTCCGCTCCAACATATGTCCTCCAACTGGTATATGAGTCATACCTAACAGTTTAGTTTATATATGGTTACCATTTTCTACTTATTTTGTGGAGAATTAAGATCTGTGATGAAGTTCTAGAGCTAAGAAAAGGCAAACCATGTCGTCACCAGGGGTGCAACTGCAAATTCAAGATCATATATAATTTTAATTAAAATTATTTGTTTACTATGAGTTTTATCATAAAAATATTTGATTTCTTTGTACTTGTAGGATTATGTTTCTCAACCTTGTCTTGTTATCATGTGCCTGTTTGAAACTCGTTAGAAGCTATGTTACTCAGACTCGAGTGTGAGTGTCAAATGCGAGTTTTTTATATATAACTTTGGAGAATCATATTATCTCATATCATTGTCCGAATATGTGTTAAATATCGATATCTCAAGAAAAATGAAGAGAATGACCAGGAAGTTCTTAGCTAATGTCTTTAAACAAGATAATCGCTGAAGGTGGTGATGGATAATGGAATCGTACAAGTGACAATATCGAGTCCTGACAGGATTGTCACTGGAATACAATATAATGGCGTCGACAACCTGCTTGAAGTCGAGGATGAGGAAGTTAATAGAGGGTAACAGTGACTCATAGCATCACCATTGCTATTTTCCTTTCAAACATTGTTGTTTTTAGAACTTATTTTCCCATGCCTTTGACAAGTATTGGGATCTAGTTTGGAGTAAAACAGGAAGTACAGGGACAACATGAACATTCGACGTGTATGCGTACCATCTCTTTTTTATGCTATGCACTTTCCTGTGTCTGTTTCTTATTTTAGTACACATTAGAAGTTAAAATGATGGAAGTTAAGCATGCACTATACAGGTTTAAAGGAGCAAGTTTTAAGGTTGTAGTACAAAATGAGGATCAAGTGGAGGTTTCATTCACAAGAACGTGGGATTTCTCTCTGGGGGGTAGTGTTGTTCCCTTGAATTTAAACAAAAGGTCCGTGCTTGCACCTATATAGTTTAGGACAATTTATACAAAATATTAATCAGCAAAGGCAAACAAACATAACTTTTGTTGCAAATGGTGGATTTTCCAGGTTCATATTGCTTCGAAATTCATGGGGTTCTACTCCTATGCCATCTTTGAACACTTAGAGGAATGGCCTCCATTCAATCTTCCACAAGTCAGAATTGTATTCAAGCTCAGAAAAGACAAGTAACGAGACAGCCTCCATATTTGGTTTTGGTCATGGTTTTACATTTGGCTTTTGTCTTTAAGAGAAAAATTTTAGATTTTGTCAGATATTAGTTTGACATGTTTGGTAAAGCTTCGTCATCTGAAATATTGAATACTTAGGTATTTATTGTTAGATTTCATTACGTGGCCGTAGCAGGCAACAGGCAAATTCATGCCTCTGCCAGATGACTGGTTACCGGACAGAGGACAACCTCGGAAGCCGCACTGCTTGTCGATCCAGTGGAGCCGGAGTTCAGAGGAGAGGTTATATTTGTTTTTCGTTTATAAATAACTCAAAAGGACTTCAAAGTTTCTCAAACAGATTTTCATTCATATTACGTAGTTGATTGACTGATGTGCAGGTTGATGACAAGTACCAATATTCATCCGAGAACAAAGATCTAAAAGTCCATGGGGTTGGTTTCTGGCAAATTACTCCCAGCGGTGAATTCAGGTCTGGTGGACCCGTCAAACAGAATCTGACATCCCATGTCGGCCCTTATTGTCTTGCAGTAAGTACTAGTTAATGTTTTAAACATGACAACATAGTTCTCCAATGTTTCATTAATCTTCTAATCTTGGAAAAGATGTCAAGTAAATGAACATTACAGATGATCCACAGATTAGATTTTGTTGGTCTTTAATGGTGATTACTAATTATATCAAGTTGTTTCTAAATGATGAAACCAGATGTTTCTTAGTGCTCACTATGCTGGAGAGGATTTGGTGCTGAAGCTCAACCCGGGGGAGCCATGGAAAAAAGGTTTTCTTGTAGCTGAATTCTGTATCAAGTGAAGACAATGTTTTTTCCCTTTGGGAAGATGCTAAAAACCAGGTTTGGACAAGAAAGACCAGAGAATCTTACCATATCTTTTTGTTAGTACGATACAGAACTTGTACAATTAAGGCCTTCAGATGCAGAGGGAGACCAAGAACTGGCCCTACAGTTTTCCAGCATCAGATGATTTTCCAAAATCGGATCAACAGGGTAAAGTGTGCGGCAGACTGAAAGTTCAAGACAGGTTCCATCTTAGTTTCTATCATTTGCATGTATTAGTGTCACTGATTCAGAGATTATTTGCTAAACTTGTCAATATTATTCAGGTATGTCAGTTATGAATCCATCCCAGCAAATGGTGCTTATATAGGCTTGGCACCAACAGGCGATGTCGGATCATGGCTAAGAGAATGCAAGGTGATCGAATTCTAAAACAAAAACTTCATCACTTGTGAACAAGCTTCTAACTATATGTAAAAATTTGTTTGATCAGTGTTATCAATTCTGGACCAAAGCAGATAAAGATGGCAACCCCATAATCGATAATATAAGGTCGGGTGCATATAATGTTTATGCATGGGTCCCTGGTTTCATTGGAGATTACAGATATGATCTTGAGATTAACATTACAGAAGGTTTTTATTTCTGAATCATGAAAACAAGGAACTATATTGTTGTTGTCAATTGTATTTAACCTCCAATGAATCCAATGCAGGCTGTTCCATTGATGTGGGTGATCTGATATCTGAGCCTCCAAGAGATGGTCCAACATTGTGTGAAATTGGCATCCCGGATCGTTCGGCGGCCGAGTTTTGCATTCCGGATCCTGATCCTAACTACATTAACAAACTTTATGTCAACCATCCTGACAGGTTAGTTGAATCATATTGGCATAAACTTATATTTGAACTTTTTTTTTGGGTGGTTTTGGAAATATTTTATTGGATTGAATGAGCCAAAGTCAATGGAAAATCAAAAAGTATGTGCTGGCCAGGTATAGACAGTATGGGTTGTGGGAAAGATATGGTGATCTTTATCCAGATGAAGACTTGGTGTTCACAATTGGCGTTAGTCAATACATAAAGGACTGGTTCTTTACACAAGTTAACAGGTTCAACTCTTGCAACTTTGTTTTCCATACATCAATTGGAAAGAAATCTCATTTTTCTTTAATATTCATAGATAAAAAGCCTCATTTTTACAACTTTGCTTGATATGAAAGATGAAAAATAATCACAGGAAGAAAAAAGATGGTACTTATCAAGCAACTACATGGCAAATCAAGTTCACGCTCCAAGATGTTGATCGTACTGGAACTTACAAATTGCTACTGGCCCTAGCAACTGCACATCTAGCATAAGTGCAGGTAAATATGCAGTTGGCCTATTTCATTTTGAAGCTTGAATTTGAACAGTATTTTCAATGTCATATAACAGGTTCGGGTCAATGATCCGAAATCAGACCCTCCTCTGTTCACCACTGGACCAATCGGGCATGACAATACAATTGCAAGGCATGGGATTCATGGGCTCTACCACCGACTTTATAATATAGATGTGGGTGGCTTGTGGAAGGGGAGAATATCATTTTTCTGACACAAGCTATAAACACTGATCCCCTTCAGGGGATCATGTATGACTATATAAGACTTGAATGTCCCTCTTCTAGTTACACCTGAAAGCTCTAGATTCGTACATATTTCCCAGAAAATTCTACCTAGATATATTTGGAATCTCAATATCTATATAAATTATGTTTACACGTTTCTCATACATGAAGAGCTACATTTACAGATACCAGGTTGAAATAAAACAAAGGGATTTTATTTAAAAGTGTTACTTGAATGTACAGTTATGTAATTTGGTTACATGGATTTATAGATTCTTTTCTTGTCATTCTCAGCTTCATCAGCTGCTTCGACCTGCATTTTTTGAGCTTGCAAGTCAGCTGTTGCCGCTTCCTTCTCATCCTTCGCTTTCAGCATTTTTGCCTGCATCCAAAAAAATAAATAAATAGAAAAGGTAGAAAGAAAAGGGTGGTCTATATAAAGGCTTTCAGCTCTGTTTCCTATACCTGACCAACTATGGTTGCTTTAACGTATCGAAATCCCTCTTGCAAAGAAACTCCAAAAGCTAAGCAATCTTTCTTCAGTCGAGAAATCAAAGAAGTCCCTTGCCCTCTATTTCCGGCGGCGGTTGCAGCGGTTGTCGAAGTGTTTAGCGGTGGCGAGTGCTTCATCTCCTCCTCCATGACGATTTTTTTCCCTAAAAAATGAAAAAGCAGCGGTTGAGAAGGGCTTATAAGAAAGTGTGAAAAGGAAAAGGTTAGGCAGGCTGCCTCATGGCCGTGGGAGAGTTTAACACGTCGGAGCCTATACGTGGCAACTTCCAAGACACGCCATGGTCAGTTGTCGCCTGTCGGTCTCATCTGTTTGCTTAGTTCCGTGAGCGGCTCTTGCGACGATATAGGCACGAGGTCTGATAAGAGTCCATATCGAATAATATTAAAATAATCAAAATTACGTAAAATAAATTATACATAATTTATATATCAAATAATTTATAAAATATAATTATTTTTCTATTTTTAAATAAAAATGAAAATATATTTTCAATATACCGATGATATAAATTATTTTATATAAAAATTGTATTTTAATTTAAAAATAATTATAAATAAAATAATAAAAGATCCTTATATTAAATTATTAATTATGTGTGTTTAGATTTGAAATATAAATTTTAAATTAAATTAATTTTATATTATAAAAAACTATTAAATATAAAAAAATTAAAATTATCTGTCTAGCTCAGTTGGTAGAGCACAAGGCTCTTAACTTTGAGGTCGTGAGATCGAGTCCCACGGTGGGTAATTTATAATTCGGAGGTCTCCCACGGAAGCTGCTCTCAACCTAGTGTTGGGGTAGCCTACTATCCTACATCTCCCTTGCCCCATTACATATGGGAATAAGGGTCAGTTAATTTTTAAATATTAAAAAATTAATTTAATATGAAAATACTATTTAATTTAATTATAGTTTAAAATAAATTTTATAGTCATTAGATATATATTAAAAATATAATTTAGGTCTATTTGATTTTTTTATAATTTCTCTTCTTCTTTTTTTATTTGAGAAAAAATAAAAAATCTCAATATGGATCAAGCTATGGGTAGTAATTTGGTCAGATCCGTCAAATTACGCCTGGCCCAAACCAATTCAACCTCCTTTTGTTTTTCTGGGAAAAGGAGGAGGGGCAAAAACATCATTTCGACTATCCTATATAAACCCCATCTTCAAAATCTAGGGTATAAAACGCCCCAAATCTTCTCCGCCATTTTTTTTCTCTGTCGGGGTCTTCACAACTCCCAAGATTGACCGTTAAACTCTTACAATCTTCAAGGCTCTACGATTTCCGACCTTCCACAATCTTCCTCATCGTCGCTTCCGAACTTTCGTAATTTCTTCCTCCAAATTCATCTCTAAATTAACGTGTTCTTTTCTTGTTTTGATTTATTTTAACTTTTCAAGATTTGCCCTTTTTCCATTTTTGGGGGAGGTCGGGTAAACGATGGGGACGATTGAGCTTTACCGGAGGTCAACTATCGGAATATGCTTGACGGAGGCTTTATATGAGATGGTTTCAAACTTTACTCTCGGCCCTGAGCTCGCTATTCGGGTTATCGTCCACTTCGATAAGGTACTGTTAGATACTTCGTTGACTTGTTCTGCTTTTATTTATACATAGTTTAATTTATTAATTTAGTTTATGTTTATTTTAGTCTATGGCTGAAGCCCTGGAAAGTCAAGTGAAGAGGACGGTTGCCTTTATGGTATGTTGTTTCTCTTTTAGGGGAAAGAGATAATTTTTTGTTGAATTTTGTGCGGTTTAAGGTGTTAACTGGATCCTAGAACGTTCTTTTAGTTGCCTTTCAGTGTTGATGTGGTATTGGTTGTTTTAATCGACGGTGATCTATGACAGTGATTTGCTGTTTCTATTGAATAACTACGGTGAGTTATTTTTTTGTTTTATCGAGTGCCTACTATTAAGTTCAGTGTTATAAAAGAAGCTGATATTAGTTTGATATGATCCCTTGCACTCCCAATCTTAAAGAAATATAAAAGCGATTATGATCATTCATGAATAGTAAAAAAAACGTTTATACTGTCACAATTATGAGCGGGATTAAAATCTAGCTGAGTGTTGCCACTTCAATGGTACAAGAATTTCGTTTAGGTCTAATTATTTATGACCTTGGTCTAATTGTGGTCTCAAATTTCAACATAGTAGGGGGTCTGAAACTAGAATTAGACCTTTTGTTTATGGTACATGGTTGTGGTGGATTGGTGATTGGCTATTGTAATTTTATCGAAATATGCCTGTTGCTCTCTTATTGCTTATGGTACATGGTTGTGGTGATTGTTTATTGTTTATTTGAGACATACCAACATGCAAAGCACATGAATCTTTCAAATTAAGTGGTGCTATAAAAAGTTTTCAACATAATATGAATAATTTACAACTTTTTTTAGTGGAGAATGGTGTTATACTTGTTAAACCATAGATACCTCTTGTCTTCGAAATTTTCTATATGACCTTTATTGATGGTTAAGAGAGTAGGTAACATATCTAAATTCTATTTTAAAAAACTTGGAAAAAGTTTTGTTATTTTTTTAATTTTATTTTAGTATGATTGCTAGAGAAACGTTATCAGGATTCAGGAATCTGAAAATTTAGATTTGCAAAAAGCTTGGTTGCTTGGAAAATGGTTTTCTTATACAAACATTATTATGTATTTCCTTTTTGGTCAAATTTCCTTGGGTTTCAATAACATTCAAAATCAGAACTGATGGTTGAAAATACCTTTTTTTTTCTTGCATCAGCATTTTGTGGTACTTTTTCGTCTACAGTTGAGTTTGTAGCTTTCTTCTACTGCTTGTTGTGCTGTATCGTTTATATATATTTTTTTATTTGAGGACTTCTACATCTTTATTAGAGACTGTTCAAATCAACACACCATCTGAAATCGCAATGTAAATCCTGATTTGGTATTCATATTTTAACCCCAATCATGTGCTGTATGTGCTACAGGGACATCTGCACACCTATAGATTCTGCGACGGTATTTGGACTTTCATTTTACAGAATGTTTTGTTTAAGATGGACGGTTCTCGGGAGAATGTCGGTTTGGTGAAAATATTAGCATGTGATTCAGAGTTACTCTTAAAATGACATATTAATCAGTGTTATCTCTGACGATAGTGGGAAGGAGATGATTGATTGACACCGGACATACGTTACAAAGCCATCAACCTTTATCTGACGATTTTTTCTATGTACTTACTTGTATAGTATTTCTTTCTGATAACATAATGTACAACAGTGAGAATTTTAGAACAAAACGATGATATTCTGACAAGAGTCGTGTCTCTTTCATCTTTCTTTGATTGTATTGATTTTTTCCTCTTCCAGTTATTATGTACATCTGTTTAGACCTGACAATTCGTATAGCCATATTGTTTTTGTGTATTTTATCTTGTAATCGTTTTTAACAAATTCTGATAGATTAATAATTCGTATTAAATGATTTCAGAATATTCCTATCATGTTGATATTGTTTGGTCTAATTTGTTGGGTTTCCCAATTTCCTTGGTATGTAAGCTTACCATCGCATCATGAAATGTAGAACCACTGAGGTGCTATTTGGACTCGACATATCCTCTTCAAATGATGCTCGTGGTCCTCCAGACGAGTAATGAGGTGCTGAAAAAAGTCTCCAGTATTGTCTCTATTGTGTTTCATGCAAAGCCATTGTCTTTCCCTTCTATATGTAACCTGGAAAATTTGGCAATGGCGATTTCAAAATCCTTAGTGGGAATCTATATTGGCATCACGAATACTGTAAGTAGTATTTGAGTCAAACTCTGAATCCTAACTTATCTCTAAAACTATCTCCTAATTTGTAGAAAAGATGACTCCTATCTTATCTAGGTCTCTAATTCATGTGTATAAAAATCGTATGTATCCTCTTGTGTAAGATGAAATTTTTCTTTGAATAAAGAATTATTGCCTTCATCAGAAAATCTAATTTCATATGGTATCAGTTGCTGGCATCGATCCCAGCTTTGCTCCCGCCGTCGTTTGAAAGAAATCCGACCAGCAGTGTGCTTTCCTTGCACTGTTGATCTCTGGACCATAAAAATCCCCTCACCCCGCCACCTGCTTCTTAGTAAAATACCTGTCGCAAAATCGTCCTTCTTGCTGCACCACTTCCATCGCAGCGTTGCTATTCTCGCAGTGCCGCTCCTGTCGCAACGCTACTCTTCTCACAGTACTGCTCTCCTTGTGTCGTCGGCCCAGTGCTTCCCAATCAGATTGCTACTTCATCACGGTGTCTTCCTTGCAACACTGTCCTCATCACAGCGGCATCACTTCCCATTCCGTTGTTTGGTAACTGTCCGGCCAGCCCGGTTTCCTTGTTGCACAGCCCGTCCGACACTCATCGTAGCACCGATCTCCTTAAGCCCTCAATTCCTCTTTCTCGGTAGTCATGGCATATTCTTCTTCGTCCAACCTACCATTCGAGACTGAAAACTCCATTATCCAACTGATGAGTGTTCATAATCAGTAGTATTTGCTCGTTAATTCTTCGATCTTATGGATTTATTGCTGCTAATTTGACTGTGGTATGCTTGTTTTTGTGTAGGATCTTACTTTCCAGACTTAGTGGTAAAACGGGCGCATTCTGTATTTTTTATTATTTGGTCATGGCTGGAGACATGAGAATGACTCTGGGCGTGACACGGTCTGACGTGGAAGTTTCTAGAAGGTCCAGTCAGTGGCAGTTTCTAGAAGATCTAGTCAGTGCTCCTTCTGGAAGATGGACGAGCAGAGTTGCATTATGAGACTTGTTTAAAGTTTGAATTTAGGAAAAAAAAAGTATCTTTAAGATTATTTTATTTTAATTTCTTTGTTTATCTCTAGGTTTTTAGAGGCTATAAATATCCTCTTGGGGTAATCCTAAACTCACAACTCAGCTTACAATCTTTTTTTCTTTCTAGTTTTATAAAAGTTATCTCCCTTATTTTATTTTTCAAGTTTTTTGATTTTTAATTTATTTTTTAGCTTTGTTTTTAAATATGTTAAGTATGACTTTTGTCATACTTAGCTAATTTTCTCATAAGCCGAGAGCTGAAGCGATGACTCCATTCCAACGGGAGAATTGAAAAAGGTCTTTAATAACTTCGAAATATCTCTCTTAATCTCTATGCTTATTTTTAAAAATCAAAGATTGACTTTGGTAAAGATGTTGTTGCGATTAAATGTGTGGGAGGAATGATCGGCTTATTGAAAGCACATTCGACTTCCTGGGAATACACTTGGCGAGATAGCCTTGCCAAGAGAGAATTGAGATCAGAATTAATGGTTATTGAAACAACAATCTGAGTCGGTCGCCACAAACTTAAACGGTAATTGATCTACGACAATTGATGTTAATCATATCAGTTTTCGAAGACGGAATCAAAGATTGCCTTGGGTATTTGGTATACAGAATAAAGTCACGGGGATTGCCTTGTAGACAAAGTAACCGACGTGAATCCCGAAGGGAAAATCTAATTCGACGATCTAAAGGAAATTGAGTCAAAGTAAGGCTTGAGGCTATTTTTACCATATCCAATTTTCAACGTTACACTCTTTATTTTCTTATTTTCACTTAAAATTGCCTTTTATTTAATATCTTTGTATTATTTAGTCGCATTTTACCAAAAACCCCCACTACTTTCTACTTAGTAAAAACCATTCAAACAGAAATTTAGAATTTTACAAAGTCCCTGAGGATCGACCCTTACTTCTCTTTACTACGAATTTCCTTATTTATTAAATGAGAAGAAGGAAATTATTTTGACATCAAAACGACAGTTGTCACCAGCCGTCTTCTTCCGACTTAGTTTCCTCGTCCATTATTTTTCATCGTCTAAAAAGTGAGAATTACATTGCCTGGTCTCAATCCATGCGTTTGTTCATCACTAGTCGCAGAAACAACAATATCTCTCTGATAATATGCTGGTCTTTGATCCCTCCAACCCCCAATACAATACTTGGCTCACTGAGAACACCACAATTATATCCTGGCTCCTCAACTCTATGCTGCCTGACATTAGCACGAACTTCATGATCTACATCACTGCCTTAAAAATCTGGAATGTTGCCAGGGAGACGTACTCCAATTAGGAAAACTTATCCGCTCTGTTTGCCATTGTATGTCAGATCAACGACTAAAAGTATGGCGATCTCACTGTTACGGGATACTTCACTCAGCTGTCTCACTTATGGAAGTAAATTGATTTTTTTAGTCTCCCGCTTGTAAAATCGGTGTAGATGCCAAACTCTACAAAAGGTTGCTTGAAATACGACATATTTTTCAATTTCTGTTGGGGTTGTCCGTCTCTCTTGATGATGTTCATGGCCGGATTCTGGCATCAAGTCTCTTATGTCTCTTCGCGAGGTGTTCTCTAAGTTCCTCATAAAGAAAGCTGTCGTTCTTTGATGCTTCTGCCACCCGTTGAAAGTTCTGTCTTAAATACCCATTCATCGGGTGACACCCGTGTCAAGAAAGGTCGTCCCTGGTGTGATCGTTGTCGGAAACTTGGTCATGTTCGTGATAAATGCTGGAAGCTCCATGTTCGTTTAGCCAACTGGACTCCATCAAAATCCTCTTCGCGTCCATCTCATGGTAACTTTGCTATAATGACATTGGAAGGTGGTTACTTTTCTCGTCAATAGATGGACGATCTACGACAAATGTTTAGTCATTTACAGATTCCTACTGTTACTGAGTCCAAGTCTGCCTACACTGTTAGTGAAGGTAGTTCTTTTTTTTGCCTTTTTATCCCCTTCACTCGAATGTGTCTCTTGGATTGTTGATTATGGGGCAAGTGATCATATGATGGGAAACTTCAGTTTATTTTCAACGTTTAACAAAATTGTGTCTCATGTTGTGTTCGTACTACTGATGGCTCCCTATCACCGATTAAGGGCAGTGGCTTGGTTCGCATTAATAACTGCAATCTTCTGTCTAATGTTCTCTTTGTTCCAAGTTTGACTTGCAATGTTCTTTCGATTAGCAAATTATCTATTGATTTGGGTTGTACTTCTCATTTTACTCATGATTATTGTGAATTTCAGGATTTGACGTCGGGAATGGTGATTGGCAATGCTAGTCGTCGTGGTGGACTCTACATCCTTGAAGCTCCTCATTCTGCTCTTGTTCCCAATCGCTCACTTATACTATTTATCTCTTCCTTTGTTTCAGTTTCTCCTATATACGCGGCTAACGACATTGTGTTATGGCATTTTAGGTTAGGTCACCCAAGTTTTCCTTATCTCATAAAATTGTTTCCCAAATTATTTATTAATAAAAATCATGCATCATTTTCTTGTGGCATTTACTCTCTTGCAAAACACATTCACAGCTCTTGTAATCATTCTCCCTCGCGCTCGCTCTCCTAAATATTTTTTCTTAATTTATAGTGACATTTAGGGACCTTCACGGGTTACGAGTTTACATGGAATTCATATATGAGAAACTATTTCCTGAACCATCCCGCAAAGCGAACATGATGTGTCTTCAATCGCTTGCACCCCACATTTCATTAACTCCACTTTGACTGCCACCTTCTTATGCAATATCTGCCAGACAAAGGATTCGACCCGAGGAGAAGCCATGCTAGACCATACATGTCTTTCCCACAAAAAACTATTGTCCGAGTTATCAAGAAGTATTTTAAGGCAATATTTAAATGAAAAACGACCATCACTTTCTCCTGACCAAACAAGACTATCGTCAATCAACGGAGAAGGATTAAAATTATACAATAATTATACGATTTCATTCCATTATAACATCTCCCAGTCAGCAAGATTTCTTCTCATTGAAATTCCCAAAAATAGCCTGACGAATTTAATTTCCTGAAATCTGTAACATTCCCCTCCTTATTTTTTAATAGAGTGAACAATCTATGAAACCTTTCTTTCAATGGAACTCCATCTAGCCAAGCATCATGCCAGAACATAATGGAATCCCCATTGCCCACCTTCATTCTGAAGTTACTCCGAAAAGAGACCCAAAAATCATCATCCAATAAAAAATTCTTAATAACTCATTTCCATATCCAAGGTGTTTTGTATGAAGTCAAATTTTCCATCCCTATAGAGTTCGGATCTATTTTGTTATTGCAACAAATGATCCAAATGATCCTTTTCCACCATGAGTTTTTCTCATTAGCAAATTTCCACGTCCATTTTCTCGGTAACGCTCTATTTATAAGCTCTAAATTTGGAAACTCTAGCCCTCCTAAGGCCTTAGACTTAGAAATGGTAGACCAATTTACCCAATGAATTCTGCTTTTTGCAACTGACTCCCCCAAAGAAAATTTGACATAATTGAATTAAGCCTCCTCAATACTGAGCTCGACATTATGAAAATTGACATGAAATTAATCG